AGAGCTAATGCTTTTTTTCCCATCTCGTCTTCATTGATTTGAATTTTTTTTTTCGGTGAACTCCGCAGTGTGAAAAAGCAACAATTATTTCAACACCATTATCATTCACAGTGGTTGGGTTAAGAGAATGGCCTTGGACTTTCTGAAGGGAAACCGCTTCTGGACAGTTTATAGCACCATGGGCATTGCTTATTAAACTGTTTAACTGATCATCAGATTAACTTTATCAGGTAATCATCAGAAGCCCAGAGATCTGGCCCTTGGGAGAAATACCACATCTTCTTGTGTCTAACACAAAAAGTCTGATTCTATTGGTATACCATTGCTAGCTAGCATGCCCCTTTGTCTCCAATACCGGCATCTTGCAAAAATCGCAGATAGGCTGGTCAGTCTATGATTTCTCTTTGTGAAAGTACTTTAAAGGGGTACAAGGGGAGCCCTAGTGCCATTTTTTTACTACTTCAGCTTTAATGCTCCGCAGTGTAAAGTTCCATAAAACAATTGAAATGATGTCATCAGCTAATCAGTGGCGGGTTCATCTATTAGCTGAATCACTGGTGATTTCATGTTGTTCAGCTCAGCAGGAGGCAGTGTAAATTACCAGGAGACTTCACTGAGTGCTCCAGTGGTCAGGAACAAGAGTGCTGCGATAAGGCACTTAATCAGGCCCCCTTAATGAGTCACTGATAGTCCCAGTTAAGGGCAGTAATAAAAGGAAAAGAAATTATTTTCAAAGGTCTGTGGAATCCTGTATATCCTTCTCATCTCAGTGATGTCATTTACATTTGCTTTAACACTTCCAGAGCAGGACACCTTTTAAAAGATCTCGGAAGTAAGAGCTTCCTTAGGAATCCCTGCCAAGAAAAACAGCTGCTTGTCCTCTAACTCTTCTGCATCCTCAATGATGCTGATAGATCTAGGCAAGAGGACCAGCCCTGAGGAGAGTCACTGTGCTCTTGAATATTTTCCATCTGTCTGACACAGAGTCCTGTTTAGAAAATAATTGAAATCTTCTCAAGACTTATTGGTATCAAACACTTGTTTTCTGAAGTCTTCATTTTTGATTATGGCATGAAGCATTTCTACTTACCAGAATGGTTAATATCAAACTCACAAAGTGTGTGACCTCTGACCCTGGACAGGGCTGCCCAAACCTACCCATTGTTACCCCATTATCTGACCATAAGTCCCCCCTCCACCCTTAATTATTGTAAGTAAACACATTCACATATTATTTTAATTAGACTGATTCTTCTTATTTTTTTACTTCATATACCATCAAGCCATCTATTTGCATCCAGTTCAGAGTCACGGAGGAGCTGCAGACTATCCCAGCAAGAAACAGGCACAAGGCAGGGTACACCCTGGACAGTATACCAGTCCATCGCAGGGCAGACCGACACAGACACACACAGACTGTACTCACCACCTGGGGAAATTTTCCCAGAAGCCAATTAACCTACTAGTTTGTCTTTGGACTGTGGGAGGAATCATATTCACCCGAAGGAAAACCACACAAACATGGGGAGAACATACAAGCTCCACACAGATAGCACCTCAGGTCCGGAATTTGAACCCAGGGCCCCTGCACTGCAGATAGGCTAACCACTGCATTAAAGCGCCGTCCTCCTTCAGTTACCATTATATCTCACATACATCGAATCGGTATATATAAACCCTTTTTGTTATTTAAGATAGACCAGTTTAAATCCAACAAGGGTGTCATGGCAAGAGATTGTTATTCCCATTAGAATATTGGGGTTCACAACCTTTTTCTTGTCCCTACACATATTTACTCAACCCCCTGCCCAGTTCCACCAAATAAAAATAAAAATCAACATTCTCGTGAAAAAAAGATTCTGTCTGGGATTCATTTTCTCTCCTCAGTTGCACTTTCCACAGGATCTTTATGCAGTTTTACTTCTTTTTAAATAAAAGACAAAGTAAAATGCCAAGATGGGGTATTCTATTCTGAATTTCTCATTTGCATAAAGAAGAAATGGTCTGAAATTGTGAACCACTGAGAGCAGGATTGATTCTACAGCCTGGGCATTGCTTATTAAAATATTCTCCAATTTGGTGATTCTGATAGCAGCTCCCAGTCGTGGTCCACAGAGTATGGGGTGTTGCAGAAACCTTTGCTGACTGCAGATATTGGCTATACAGGAACCTTAACTTAAGGTTAAAATGAGAGGAGCTTGCTTGGTTGCAAGCTGTCCATTAATCCAAGTATTGTATTTGGCCAGAGGAACTTCTTAGTATCAGTCTTCTGGTTTACACCTTAGTTCTGCTGTTTGAGGCAAAGGATTGATGTGTGAAAAAAATACTGGTGTGTACAAGGGGACAAGTGTTTCTGTCCTAGGTGTTGTACCCATAAATGAGTTAAATGACAGCTCTGTGTTCCAAATTGAGAGGGAATTAACTGTTGTTTGCACATTCAATTACATAGATTCCACTTAACCCTTTTCTATTAAAATAATATTTGCACCCACCACACTGTTCTTAATGCCGGGACTCTCATTACTGCTCAAAAGCAAGTTTGTAGTGTCAGTCCAGCGTCAGAAGAGCACTTCTTTATAAAATGACAGAGAAATGGCTTGGTAGCAGCACTGGGTGAAATAATGCCCATTGCAATACAATTTATTCTCTTAGTCCTTCATGCAACAGTGTAAATCAATACTTTTATCCTTTTTATTTTATTATTTTATTATATATTCAGCCCAAACTTCTATAGTTCGAGGTTTTCCAAAGAATCACATCAGTAAATCGGACACAGTTAATAATCCATGTTGTATTACAAATACATTATAAAAGATTGTACTATGGAATCACGTCAGGGTTATCAGGCCTCTGATACAGTTTGTTAAGAAAGCCAATGCAAAGCCTCCCATAAGAACGGAATAATATGTTGAATTTCTGATTTCTTTCATGTCTTTGAAATGGAGTTGCTGTCTTATCTGTCTGAAGCATTTTGTGTGAGTTTGCAGCTACCATGGGGCTCAACTTTACAGGATTACCTTGACAACAAGGGTTTAAGGCTGAGAAGAGAAGAGAAGAGAATACTGCCTCCATGTCAGGACCCTTCAGTCCAGCCAGTTTACAACCTGCATCACAATGGAACTCGGATCAATCATCTTCTGTCAGAAATCCGGCCCTCTAGCCTAAATCCACATTAGAATATCTGTAGGAGATGAAACCAAGCCTGCCGTTGGCCACGCCTATTTGAAGAGCCCATCTGAATAAACATCTATTGGCTGCAGGCAACAAGAGTAACATCTGTGAGATGCTCCTTTTTCTGTTTGTTCGAGACAAACATTTAACAGCTATTGAAGACACAGTTGGGGGGAGGGGGGGTACGACACAGTTCTCCATGTCCCTCAGTTTTTAATTTAGATTTTAAGGTTCAGCTTTAGGTTAGCTAGGTAGAATTAAATAAATAATCCTTACACTTATATAGTGTGTCACAGATGTCTGAAGGGACGAACCGTGGAATGGCAGGAGAGCAAAAAGACCCTATGCGTAGCGGTGAGACAGGGGTTAGCCCGGGCTCAGCTGTTCAGGAAATGCCATATAGAAACCTATGCCCTCAGGTAGTGGACGTGGGGCGACCTGGTGCTAGGCGGGTTTCAGGACATTCGTACCTCAATACTGAGCGAGGAGCAGAGCAGAAGCAGGAAGTAAATAGGCTACACAACAAGACACACCAGAAAGACATGAATAATCACAGGGAACTAGGAACAGAAGAGAAGTAGAGTGCCCTCTAGGTGTACTGGGCATGACATAGTGCTTTTCTGGACCCTCAACTCAAAGCGCTTTGCAGGTATTGGGAACTTCCCACTGCCAATGTGTAGCGCCACCTGGATGATGTGACAGCAGATTTCTCCAGAAAACTCACCACACACCAGCTATCAGCGAGGGGAACAGAGTGATTGGGCCAGTTGATAGATAGGGATAATTAGAAGGCTATGGCTGGTAAAGGCCACGAGGAAATCTGGCCAGAACACCTGGTTTACTCCTCTACTCTTTTCCAGAAACACCATGGGTTTTTAATGACCACAGAGAGCGAGGACCTCGGTTTTACATCTCATCCAAAGGAAGACACCTTTTTTACAGTACAGTGTCCCCATCACTATACTGGGGCATTAGCACCCACACAGACTGCAGGGTGAGTACTCCCTATTAATTTGATTAAATTACCTAGTTTAAACATTTGTCCTACAGAAAGATCAGGTCTTAAATAGAGAAATATTCCATTTTTATCAAAGTTTTTTTTTTCTTGCACAATATGGAGTAGTTTCAATCTTTTGCAAATTCTCCAGTGTTTTGTCAAACATGACAGCCATCTCTTAATATATACAGGTGTAATTTTTAGAAATCTGTCTGTTCAATTTGATATCCATTTTGGCATACTTTCTAAACTATATCACTTTGGTTTTAAATGCATAATCAGCAAATTGTTGGCTATGAGACCAAAACACACTTTTCCAATGCCCTTATCTTCCATTTAAGGACCAAAAATGTAGCACAGGCCGCAGACCTTTCAAATTAACATTAATCACACAAAAATAAACCACACTTGACAGCCCAAGGTGGGTGTCAAATTAGAGCTGTCACCAAGCGGGCCTAGTAAATTAACGTTAACTGTAATGAAGAGGGAGTCCCTATCAACACATCATAAATCCATTAAATGGTGAAAAACCTCCAGGAAGGTGATAATGCACTTCACACCTCAGGGTGTTCAGAGCAGCCCTGCCCTCCTGCTCACTGAGAACCAACTGCCAGTTCCTCCCATAGCCCCCTGTGCTATTCTCATGCATGTTTGCAAGGCACTCCCCCGGATACAAAGCAGCAGCTGCACTTGTGTTCCATCTTCACTGAAACACCCATTAAGACATAATGGAAAATGAAGATCTCTGTCACAACACAGCTCCTGCTCACTGCAATCTTTATAGCCCGGTTCCTCTGTCCTGATTCCAACAGAGACCAAAAGCCCCTTTCATCACTGACCTGACATGTTCCCGTTTCACCTTAGAGCACATCAGTTGGAGTAAAGCTGAAGATCCCTTCTCCGGTGGCAGGGAACTGTAAGTCAATTCACACTGATGATACGTGGGGGGAGAAAAAGAAGACTGCAGTTTTTAGTGCTTTCATTTGTGCTGCAGGTGATGACAACTTGATAAAAAAAAGCAATCAAATGTTTTTTAGGTTTATACTCGAAAAGAGTAGGGGTGTAACCCTGGCGCCCTGACAAATTTCACATTGGCCCTTACCGATCATGGGCTTCTTATAGTCCCCCTCTATGAATTGGCTTCATTACTCTGCTCTCCTCCCCACTGATAGCTGGTGTGTGGTGAGGGTTCTGGCGCACTATGGCTGCCGTCGCATCATCCAGGTGGGGCTGCACATTGGTGGTGGTGGAGGGGAGTCCCCATTACCTGTAAAGCGCTTTGAGTGGAGTGTTCAGAAAAGCGCTATATAAGTATAAGCAATTATTATTATTATTATTTATAAACACCAGCAGGGTCATGTTGGGAATTTACCCATTAAAGGGTATTACATTTACAAGGCATCACCTATAGATTAGAAGTCAACTAATACTAATGTTAACGAATGCCAAAAAATTCTTAATTGGCTTATAATAAGATGGGCACAATATAGTCGCTATATTAAATAAAAATAGAATCTTTCTGGCCTTCCATTCTGCAAGCAATACAGTTTCAACTAAATTGATGATAAAGGATTATTACTGTTTAACTGTGAGGGAAACCAGACTTTGGGTAAAAGACCTGGAGTCCAAATGACAGATACCATAAATACTGTAAGTCAATGAGACATTGAGGTCGTGGTATTACAAGTATTCTGATACCCTGTTGGTAAAAATGAGTTTCCTCATTTCAAATGTGAAAAGTTTCAACGACTCAAACCTTCTGAGACCAACTCTCACATTCTAATTATTGCACTGCTAACTGGCAACAGTAAAGAGCTGTTGTCCCACTTGGATAAAAGTGCAAGGTTTCTCAGTTGATTGGTAATTTGTTCCCAACACTAAATAAAAAATGTGAAATAATGAAGTTGCACTGTGGTAGCATGAACAACAGAAAGCATTTAGAACCTACAGTATCAGGTTATACAGTATATTCCAGATTCCAGTTATCCATACTTATCTCATTTTCAGAACTGTTTCAAGATATGCAATAATAATGAACATTTTGATTGATTCAACATTTTCAAGAGGTGCATTCCATACTTTAGCAAAGTTGTTCCAAAATGCTAAAAAGATAATACAATACTTGTCGCTGAAGTCAATACAACACCGGACAAGCTCTTCTTAATGGGGTTGAGGCAGATAAGATCAAATGTACAATCCATGTGTACAGCCCAATACCACCTATTTTAAACTGTGTACCTCACAATGCTAATCCCAAATGCAAAGATTCGGAGAGCAGGGCAGGCACTAGTAATAAGGCTGAGCTCTGACCCAATCCCTTATTCTCATTTGGAGAAAACCCATTAAAATGCTAATATTATCCCTTACAGGTTAAACTCGGAGGAAATGAGAAGGAGCTTTCAACGTTTCAAAGTTTCAACAATACCATCTAGACCGGCTGTCTTTTTTCTCTGTCTCTAAAAAACAACATATGGTTATTCAATGAAAAAAGTGACTCCCCACTTTCCCTGGAAAGGAATTCCAACAATTTTCCACACTTTTAGAAGAGGCATAAAACAATAGCCTAACTTACATGGCAGTATTTTGTTATAACATGTATTCATAATTTCATATAGGATTACATGTAAGTATAGCTATTCACTCTACATGTACTTTTGTGAGTACTCTGAAATTGTCATTTTCAGTTTAGAAGCCATTAATGTAGGCTGAGTTTTAACTATATGACCTCATTCTAAATTATCTTTGGAAAAAACGATAAGCACCAGTTGATATGAATCATCAAAATTATTTTTATCCCAGTTCCGTAGGGTGCAGATTCCCCTAAAGGGGTGCATCCAGAAATTTGGAATATTAATTACTCCAGAATATGGCGACCACTCAAATCATGATGCATTGTTGCAGCACTGTAAGGAGTGGATTCAATATGGAGGATGATATCCAAATTACAAATCATGCTGATCTTGATGTCTGTGGTTTTGGCTTTGTGTCCTTACAAAAGAGAGTTCATCTAGTGTAGATAGAATAAAGATAAAAAGACAGTTTTACTGTACATACTGCATTGGTTTGCCACGATCAGCCCTTGTGGTGATAAAAAATGAAAACGAGTTTGGTTTGTACTTGAGAACAGAGCCAAAGACAAAACCAGGTAGATTAAACTTCACTTTTTTGTAAGTGAACAGTTTTGGAACCTTGCTCCTATTGTATGACAAGTGAATTTTGCTGCTCACTTTTTAAAGAAAGAAAAAATACCAGCATGTTCTGCAAAACTCTGAAGCACAGAGAAGTGGTATATAAGGGGACAGTTAACCATTTCCAGGAGTAAGACCTTTTTTCCTTTCCGGTTCCTTTATTGCTTGCCTTGTTGTTGCGCTAGCTGGGACCTCATTTCGAAACAGGAGCTTCTGTAATTAAAGCCCATTTAACAACAGTCTATTCTTTTCACCTTAATTGAAAAGTTACTCCTTTAAATGAGTCTTCCAATAAACCCATCCCTGAACCCCACTGCCTGAGTGAAATCTGCATAGCAACAATGGAAGGTTGAGACAAACCTGCAGTCTTCCCTGGCACATGCACTTTACAGTCCAGCACCTTAAAGCAGCAGGGCAATCGCTCACCCTAAAGAGGGGCTCCTTTACATATCTATGAGTCAGCTCATTAGCTAAGTAGAATCAGCACTTTTCTCAGGGAACCACATCCAATTGTCATGGAGGGAGTCTTTGTCTTTCTTAAATGCTTCCAAGCTAAGCTGTTATTGTGGCCAGTTATCTAGTTAATACATATTTACAACCATGTAAGGTTATAGAAGGGATCCTGTAGTTTTATTTGCAGGGTTTCATCTGCAACACCATAAAATCATTAACAAGCTGTTTAGCGCAATTGTTCCTCCAAGTTTTTATTTTGTGGCCTCAGCAATGATGTGTTTCAGAGGAGACAGATGGTGGGATGTCTCAGGCAGAGGATTCCCAGGACTAACTAAAGAGGAACTGCAGTCCCAATTTCTCAAACTGGTTAGTAAGTCTCAGTAACAAAATTAATTAAATGACAACATCGCAAAATTTTACAGATTCCAAATTAATCACAAATTGTCAACATTGTGAAAGTACTATACAGTGCCCATTGCTGTCACTAGCTCCTGGTCTCTCCACGTTTGAGAGTGAGAGTTTGCGTGAATCACAACATGAAGTGACCCTTCCTGCTCACTAGTTATTGTAGTGACTAATGTAATGCAATGTACAAACAAATAAGTACAGGTTGTGCAGCAGATATTTCACCGCAGAGATTTTTCGACATGATCTGCAGTTACCAAGTAAGTCGTATTTGTCAGATAAACCATCTCGAAATTGAGAGCAATATTTCTATTAAATTAAAAGAGATGTATTCACAAGCCTGCTTGTTTACAATGTAATAGGACTGCTTCACCTCACTGGAAGTTTTGTTGTCTTGTTCTGAATCACAGAATCTGGCGTTACTCATAACTGGAAATGTAGTCTATTTTGTGATGTAAATGTACACATTACTACGCACATTTTACTTTTATTGTGGTTTGAAATGCACTCATCAGTGCCAATTCTTTCTAACCTCAAATATAAAATCAGCTTTGCAGTTCTACTTTAAATGGACAATTAACATCACAGATACTTATTTTCAAAGCAATTTTTTTAGGTTTACATAAAATGCAAGTTTTACACAAGTATTTTCACAAGTCAGTAATGTGTTAGCACAATTAGGCCTTCCTTTAGCCTCATTTCAGATCAGCCTTCCAAAGTATTTTTTAATTAATAACTTGATTTAAGGGTCATTATAAGGTTTCGTAAGGTTAAACAAATATGTACAGAAATCAAGAGGCAGGCATGAAGAGCAGGCCTAGCATCCTGTGAGCTATATAACTGATAAGATCTTTAAACAAGACTACATCTCAAAAAGATACCTCTTTCATCTGTATAGAGATACATACTGCTCCAGCCTCATTCCAATGGGTAACTGAGTATCACTTCATTATTTTACAAAGCTCTTGCAGAAAAGCAGAAGTTTCAATTAGTAGGTGTATAAGATAAGATCACTTTATTAGCCATATATAATTTCTTGCATTAGGAATTAGTCTTTTCGCATACCCCAGCTTGCTCTCCATGAGACACACAGGTACACAGATGGGGAAAGAGAAGCTGGGGGTCAGAGCACAGGGTCAGCCATTTATACAGCACCCCTGGAGCAGTTGGGGTGAAGGGCCTTGCTCAGGAACTGCACAGAGTAGGATTCCTCTGCCGGTAGCAGGATTTGAACTGGCAACCTGCAAGCCACAGGCACAGCCATCACTCTGCCCATTATTAAACTTCTTTGTATTAAAGTTCTTTGATTATTCACTCAATATAAGGCCATATCTGAGCCTATATCTAATTCATACCCAGTCACCAATTAAAAAGTCATTTACATCTTAATGTGGGGAAGCAATTAAGTTCACAATCAAAATGGTATGTAGTATACATCAATTCTTTTTTTATCAGTCATGTTGATGTTACATAAAACTTATGGTAATACACCACTATGGCTTCATTTAGAATGTCGTGTGCAATTTGGATCTGTGTCTTACAGAAAAGATCGATGTTTTGGAAGCACTACAGAGAAGAGCAACCTGATTCATTTCAGGACTTAAAGGAATGACAGGTTGAAAGAACGGAACCTGTTCAGTCTTCAAGAGAGAAGACTACAAGGGGACTGGATACAAGTATTCAAAGTCCTCAAAAGCATTGACGAAGTTAAGGCAGCTGACATCTTCAGAATGAACACTGAAACACAAGTGGAATCCATGGGCCAGCATATTTAAAAAGAGAATAGAAGACACTTCTTGGTGGTACTCAAAGCGTTGTGGAGGAAGGAACACGTACTCACCAATGTTGCTGAGGCTGATATCCTGGCTTCTGATCTGGATCTTCTGGATCTGATGGCCTGATCAGATCCTTGGATCAATCAGCTACTCAGCTCAGCTACTAACTGCCAAATGGGCTAAATGGCTCTCATTTCCTCTCATTTGTAACTTTTCTCATGCTAAAGATCACCCCACTAATCTGACATGAAATTGTCATATTTATCTTATTTCCAGACACAGATGTGTACTTTCTAGGCCTTCATATAAAAAGCTTCTTAAAGTAACTATTTCTTACCATTTTCTAAGCAAATGCTTCAGTTCAGAATCTCATAAGTGGCAGGTATATTAAAGTAAAAAATGGTATAGAAAAATGAATTCAGAACTCTTCCTGTCCTTAATGAAGAAATTTTATTTTATGCCAATTATGGAAAATACAAGACATGTACTAGTGACAACAAGAACACGATTTTGTCTTAAGAGTTCATACATTTTCATTCGCATTTTTCGAATACATTCTGCATCTATGCGTTTTCAAAAAAATGCATGTACATATGATAGGTTATGTTTTATTTTACTTGTTGAAGCACAATAGTAAGTATGTGTCATGACTGGTAACTGTAGACAGCTACAGCTTCGTCTAGTGCTTTGTTGAGTTGTTCTCTTTGTGTACAGTAGTCACAGGGGAGCTGAACTGCAAATTGTACCAATTAAGAGTGCAGCTGTGTTAATGTGTGAGAAGGACAATAGAGCAAGAGCTCATCTGTCAACAGACAAGACGGAGGGAATCCCTGATACACAAAGACAAAGACGATAAAGAAAGTCTAAGCACAAGTACAAACTAAACCCCTCCATGCAATCGTCACACCATCATAATGACACAGTTCCAGGAGAAGGAGGATAAGGAGGATGGCCCACAGATGAACGTGTCTGCCCGGAGAATTAACTGCAATCAGTGCTTAACATCCAATTAATTTAATTCCTGTGTGTAAGTAACGAATCAGGAGCTGAATGTGGGGAGATAAAATCTTCAATCCCTGATTAGCAAGACAAGGTGGATGAACTGAGAACAGTATCTGGCTGGATTTACCAGATGCAGACAAGAGGAAGGTTATATAGCGAAGATTAGAGACTGTTTTATTTAGGCTGTACTGTCACACAGATGCACATTAGTGGGATACGTCTCTTTGACTTCTCAAGAAATGTATGCTTAACTGAGCACATGTTATCTGAATTAAATTATTTGCATCCATTCTGTGTTCCGGATAAGCTGATTGTATGAACTAAGTCAAGCCAAATTGCACATATACTGCATATACAAACAAATGCAGCATGTAAGTGATTTAAAACTGTCATATCATGTTTTCATTTCCCATATTTCGCTACAAAATAGCATTCCTGAGCAAAATCAATTTCTACAAAGATTCCTGGGTTTCCCCAGCAAAGCAAAGATTTATTAATTGTTCATATCAATGCACTTAATGCTACAGTTTCAATCTCAAAAATATATATGCATTGAGATTTAAATGGTAACATGAACTTTGTGGGTTGTGTTTGGAGAAATTAGGTTTGGGTTGGCAGCTCCCATCCACCATGCTGGTTTCCAGTTTGAGCTCATTGTGGATAAGTGGTATTTATAATGAAAGGGTCTTTCAGTCTTCCCTCATATGCAACACACATGCAACTGAATGGTTTTCACACAACACACATTTATTAGCCCTCAAATAACACTACTGTACAACACAGTTAAGGACAATGAAGTACAAGAGACTGTTTCAGTTGCTGTGCTCCTTGAACAACACAAATCTCCCATCAATCAATGAGAGATCAAAGGGTCATGAGAAAGAACAGTTGTAATAGAAGGGCTCCCAGTTCAGATTTGGGCATTTCCACAATGTGTGTGCAAATACATTAAGCATATAAGTGTTCAGTTATTTATTTTAAAATTGATTTAATTACCTTCTGTGTTAATCAAGCTAGTTCCTTCTAAGAAAGCAGTTTAAAGAGTAGTTTAATTACTTTCTTCACAAGCTGATAATAAAGGACAAATTAAAGCAAATGAAGTTTCTAAAGAAGAGAACGGTACTGTTTTTCTATATCTCTACAATGCAGCAATGATTAAACACTTCGTACTAAAGAGTTAACACAGAAATTTGATTATTAACATTAAGGGTATATTTCGCAAAGAGCAACACTAAACATCAATAATTATGGCCAATCTATAGTTAATAAGTTTTACATTTGAAAAAGTGACTTCATCTGAAAAGAATAAGAGAAAGAAACACGAATCACAAAAACAGACTAATATGAATATCTCTAACAATATACATTTACAGATATATACAAGCTGCAGTCAAAAGGTCATTGGGAAGAATACAATAGTTTTTCAAAATTTGAAACATTTTATAAGATGCTCACCAAAACTACAGCTTGGATCCTGCTGTTTTTTTTACATAAGAGTTAATGTTCCAACAGCTAATGTCCTAATAGACTTAGGTAGCAACAAAACTTCCTTAACCCTAGAGAGAAGCAAACTTTGTTCTCTGTCTATTAGCACAAGTCAGTGCACCTGCCTGATCCCAATTACCCAGGAATTCTTGAAACCAGCTCACCAAGGACATTGATTAGAACCCCACAGAGCAGGTCTTCCCGGACCTTTCCTTAATGATGGGATTACTCCAAGCAACCACCTCCCCCTCACCTCTCCAAGCCCCTCTGGAGCACCATACACTGTTTTGTACCAACAGAGGACAAAACACCTTTTTGACCCCTTGTCTGTCCCCTAATTTGGAATTTGAGCTTCCCCACAGCTAGCTCACTTTTGATAATGCCTCAGACTTCAGAACCATCCAGTCACTCAATCTCTGGCTGTCCAGTCGCTAGCCTTCCTAAAGTTACTGCGGCCACTGTGCACAGTCAGGCATCCCCAAGCACAAAAGTGAGTAGAACTAGAGATCAGGGAAGAAATCCAACAAACAAATGTTGTGCCCCTTGCTCTCTGTTGTTCCATTGTACGCAATTAGCAGCTACAGACTGTACTTCCCCAAGCATTTCTGTGGCATTTTGTATCACTCTTCTTCAACATTATATGGTACATATCTGTTTTATAAGCAATCTACAGTATATGGCACAACATCCTTGAAGCAAGGATTAATTCATGCTTAATCTCTACAATGCAGCAATGATTAAACACTTCTTACTGAAGAGTTAACACAGAAATTTGATTATTAACATTAAGGGTATATTTCGCAAAGAGCAACACTAAACATCAATAATTATGGCCAATCTATAGTTAATACTAAATTCCTTTGTCTTAGCCCTCAATTGTTTTTTTCAACATTTACTTGAATTAAATGTATATATATATATTACTGCGGATTACAGTAATAAATAATTTGCATATGCATTTGAATGTTCTGGCATTTCTGGAAAACGTGGGTTGCAAAGGACTGCACAGCATCTATTTAAAAAGAAAAACAATCTGTTTAATTTGTTCAAAAGAATTTGTTTCAGAAACATATCTATCTCTTACTCTAAACCCCTATGTCTCTATCTATCACTGAAAATAAACACATACATGTAGCTCAACAATATAGTGAGCCAAGCTTTTAACCAAGGATGAAAGCTTTAGGGCAGTGTTTGGGGTGAGTAATGGTCCAGAGCAAATCAATTGGCTACTGAGGATTAAAGATAAGGTGTTGAGGCTTTTTGTCCAAGAAGCAAGTGATGACCCCTTCATCCATCTCTGTCCCTTCATTCCCTTCAAAGATTTGGTACCAGATTCCTCAATTAAAGTCTCCTTTTAGAACAAGGACAACAGATGCTGCAATCACAACCCCTTTAGAGTGGTTTATCTGAAGACAGAAATAGCTCACCCCTTTCCTTTCTTGTGAGGTAAATAGGGTTCCTCCATATAGATGGCATTGTACCTTTCATAAAACCACAAGAATGTGTCAAGACCCTAATCTAACCTTTCCAGAGATGACTGATGGTAGTTACTGGTGCATATCGAACTCACATTGAAAATGTAAATTTATTTTTTTTCTTGAAATAATTCCCTTTTCACAAAAAAATACCAGATTTCTTAATGGGGTAGATTTTTCAATAGCAGTAGATTTGGAGATGAAAGGAGGGTGTAGACCATGTGTAAAAGATTGGTGAGTGTGATTAATTGAGGAAAACTGAAGAAATCCACATTTATAGGATTGAATTATGTTCTCTGCCATTATACATATACACAAAAACCGTGGTGTGTTTAAAACTTAGAGGCTAAATTTCTCAAATATGACTTGTTCTGACAAATGTATAACCCATGTTTTCAAATCCTTGGACTAGCCTCCTGGTGAATTTCATACAAATTGCAAGAAAGGCACAAAGTCACTTTATGCTTTCAAAGGCCTGAAGCGAATGCCTTCCTTTGTATTTCTGAGCTCCTGATAAATTACACCTTTAGACACATTCTCTCATCTCATTTGTTCCCTCAACAAGATTATGGATTTGGTAAATTCCATGTCTTTATGTAAGTAGGCTGTGGAGTACTCTCCCCTTTTTGAAATCAGACACGTTGAAACTTTGTTTTCAGACATACTTGTTAGAACTACCATTATTGTATATTTTATTGTAGTTACTTTGTATTGAGATGGATCTCTGAAGTAATTTTTAAAATTCCAAATCATCCTCAGTTAATTCTTGAAACACTCTTATAGTCCTTATTTAAGAATGAACGAAATGTCTGAAACATTTTGTTTTGTCTTCAAGCAGAAAACAAAATGAAACTGAAAAATCTTCAGCAACCATTATCATTTTAACACCTGTGGCCGGCAAATATCTATCTTACTATTACTGTGGGCACAAACACACTTAAACTTCATTGTCGTCAATGTGTGGATCCTTTTTCTGTGTCAGTCCTACTGATGAACAGTGAGGACCAATCAATTTATATGACAATTCATATGAATAATTAATTAATTGTTTACATTAATAGTTAATAATTCTCAAAACACGAACATACTAGGTTTCACATACTGATCAACCTTAAAAAATTGGGAACTTGAGCTTCAATCTTAGATCTTTTACATTCTTATGCTTTGTCATCTGATGGTACAAAATATTCTGCATTGCAAGGGTGTCAAAATGACAATCATAGGCCATAGGATCTGTTGGTTTGTGTCCCATTTTATTCTTTTAAAAAACATCATGGGTCCAATTGTCAATTTACTAGAAAAATAAACACTTTAATACAGAACTACAAGTTCTACAGTTATTGTATGTTGAATAAAGCGCAACATTTATGCATCACATTATGTGTACAGGGCACCTTCTAATCCTCCAGCAATGGATATGAAAACAGACAAAGATACACAGAAACAGAGCAGGATGTACATGGAAGAGCAAAACAATGAGGCAGTTTTTCCAAGAAATGTTAAATAACAACAGTAATGTTTTTGCATTTTCGTATTTAATGATCACATTTTTTTAAATAAACAATGGGTTGTGCACACTTCGATTCTGTCAAAAGCAAGGCTAAAAGATAAATTGACAGAACAAAGACTTAAACTGCAAGTGTGCCCTGTTCCTTCTCTTGTTGAAAGGGACAATTACATATGATGATGTGGAAAAAAGAAGATGTAAGAAATATGGTCACACAGAGAATTGCTTAATGGGATGCAAACAATGATAAGATAAAAACCAAAAGCTGTTTTTTTTGGGCCAGTCTTCTTGCTGGAGTGGTCAGCGTGGAGAATCCTGTGCCCTCCATCATTCTGAGAGGTGTGTCCAATTGCATTGTCTAGAGCAGCAGGTAGCTCTGCCTGGCGGGGTCACTGTTATGACCAGCTCTTGCCCATTGGTCAGCCTGCTGCCGGACAGGTCAGGGGTCAGTGGCCAGCTCGGACACAGACTGAACACTTTGTAAATGAGGCTTACAGCATCCAGAAAGATGATTTATAGAGGGGTAACTTCATGAGGTCAGCACTGCTTCAACATCTGAGGACTTTAATGCTGTGGAGCTCTCTCTTTGTGTCTGTTTAGGGAATCTTCTGGTTTATTCTATCTTGAACATGAAAAATTATCCCTTCTTTTTCCAAAATATTTTTAGCCTCCTGAAGCAATTTTATTTTGAAAATCAAAATTAAATGAATTGAGACCAAATATGAACCCTCTTTTTTATGTGTCTTATCTAGGTACACAATTTGTGTATATACTTAAGCAATACAGTAAATCTCACCCTATAATAGCCC